AAATCGCAGTCAGTGAATGTTCTCCACACTCACCCCTCCCCCTTCCTGACATGAACTATTTTGGTAAACCATTGACAGTGTGGAAAGGATTTTTACACTCGAGTGTCAAGGGGGGGGGGGGGGCAGTTACAGAAATATACAAGGCGATGGTTCAAATTGGACAATTTTCAAAACTGCTCAACATGGTGAAAACTTCACGTTTTTAAAGAATGCTTGCCCGGCGAGTGGTTTGCTCTGGATTGCGAGAGAACAAAAACTTTGAGTTAGGATTTTTCCTAATACTATCTATACCACCCTTGGTATACGCAGCTAACGAAAATTGACCGGTACGGGTCAAAAGCTGGACCGGTACGGGTTAACGGTTTTATTTGAATTTAAAACAGCCATACTTGCTCAATATTGACTTCCTCGTGTCTAATTTGAAATATATGATGCCTCCCGATGCTTTTAAGTACCCCAATTTTTTACAGATTGTTAAACGGACCAAAACTCTCTAAATGCGCATTTAGAATGTTCGTTTCTGTGCCCCCCCCCCCCCTGTCCATGGCCAGTAAGTAAGCTATGTGTATATATCTGTATAAAACCAGATGCAGGCATAGACATTGACAAGGCGAGGGGATTTAAATATAAAAATAGTCTTGTTTTTGGCTCCGACTTATATATTTTGGCACTGTTTAACGAAGCCGGTTTAAGGAATGAGAGGCAGAAATAATTCCTAGAAATAAGATGGCCTCATCGCGATAGCCGCGACCCCTTTGTCTTTATCCTTCCACAATCGGCAGATAAGAGTGGCTCTGGCATACCAGAATGAGATGGCCTGTCTTTACCGTAATCAAGATATGGTACCTAACCGCAGTTATTTTGGTTTTATAACGGGGATATTGCTCGAGCTTGAATAACAAATAAAAGGCATGTTCTTATTTCTGTATTCTGACCTTTGATTGTGTATTAAGTTGAGCTGCACGCCAAACGTTAAGATTGTTAAAATGCTGAAAATAAAACTTTATTCCTCTCAATTTACATAAAAATGAAACAGATTAGATTCGAATCTCAGTCACAACAGCACCACTGGTCAAAGGAAGTACAAATATCTATATTAATCAAATGTCTGAGAATTTGATAACTGTCTGGGATCCAATGTTAATTTTATTGAAGCAAACTAAGAAAAGATGAATTTTAAACGTTTAGAGGGAAAAGTCAATGCATTGTAACCCTAAAAATAATTCATTAAAGTGTCTTACACATTTTATAACATTTATATAAATAAAACAAATAAAGCACAACCCTAATGCCCTATAATGAATTCATATCGGCGCCAAATGGCCCTTGCAATAAAAACGCATCGAAGCAGGGAATGCTTGGAAAATTCTTCCGAGACTGACTTTTGTTATTTTAAAATTGAAATATGCCTAATTCCTATGAACACGCGATCTTTTTCCCTGGGTTTTACTCTATTTTAGATTTACTAGAAAAATGTTTATATGATTGCGTTTGCTTCTCACGAGTTCATTGAAACGTTCAGTCGTAAAACTTTAGAGATCAAAATACTAATTAGGCACCTGATTGCGAAAGTTTGATTGCATTTCGATCGCCGGGATTTTACAAACGTATTGTTTAAGTAGCGATCATGTTCTTGGGATCTTGATAACTTCCTATTTTAAGTTTTGGGTTGAAAGCAATGAGTATGTCGGACTTTCTCAAGTCCACATAATGAAACAATATCCCTTTATATTAGTCCAATCGGAATTTGCATAAACATACCAGTTTTATATTGCAAAAAGAACTGTAATTAATAGCCTACATAAAAGCATCATGATAAATAAAACATTAAAGCATATATAAAGCCTTTTGTTATTGCACCCATCGCACCCCCCCCCCTTCTGGCTACGCCTATGGATATTTTGGCAACTTTCACGTTTACCCCGCCCCCTAATAATTCTTGCGCCCCCTCTAAATATCAGACCCGTCAGGCGTTGAGGCATGGATCAGGATACCCTGACTCCCAAGCTGTGCGACTTCTGGCAACCGCTACACCTATATTCCCGGGGAAAACGCTTTTAGAAAAATTGTCAAATATGGTCGTGTGTGGGCAAACACGGAGGAGGAGGAGAGGGGTGCGTGCATTGTGTGCGACCCTTCATCAGTGGTGTACCTTATTTTTTGTATGAATTTCTTCCGAATAGTTATGCTAGAGGGGTTCTGATATTTATTTCTGTTTTCAAATGAAATAATTTCACCCTTGCCCGACTGACTTGTAGATAATGCACGAATCAAATAGCATGGAGATCAGATAATCAGATTGATTCGTATTTTCGCAATCAGATGAATTAACTTATTGTTTTCTCTGATTAAAAGGCGGTTTGAAGCTACTTTTACAGGATTTGTAAATTCGCAATCAGACTAGCTTATTTTAATATTTAGTCAGTGCAAGAGGAGGGGACTATAATGTAGAAAATTGTTTTGGTTTCGACTCTAACTGAATAATTTATCACAATTGTTAAATAAGCAAACAGAAACAGGTTTAAAAATGAGAATAGAGGCAAAAAAGTCTATACATAAAATGTAATCAAAACCCGGGAATTAAAAGCAATTTTAGACTGTTAGATGATCTCTTCTGTAATCAAGGTGATGTTGGTACACTTCCGCCGTTAGAAAAACAAAGACTAAGACAAAGACTATATAGCAATTAATCCTTTTGTAATCATTAAATGTTAGATTCTTATTATTTTGTTGGACAATGTTCAGACTTCTGACCAAGATTAAATCATTTATGTTTGTATTTAAAAATAGTATTTCAATCAGACAGACGTTCTAATGAGTTAGAAAAATACATTTGTCCATTTCCTCTCAAGAAGTTTTCAAAGGTAATCAAGTCGATTTGTTTGAGTGTTTAGCATTGTTTTTCATAACTAAAACAAAGAGAACTAAGCAATTAATCCTTTTGTTATCATTAAATGTTAGATTCTCATTTTTTATTGGACAATATTAAGACTTCTGTCTCCGATTGTTATGCAGGTATGTGTATAAAATCATGTGAACAACATTATCGTGGAAACTCCCATATTCATTCTCATAATGTCTTACAGCTATTTCGCAAATGACATAATCCTAAACAACATATGGAAATAATAGTGCAGAACTGAGCGAAAAGAAAGGTGGAACAAATCAGATTAAAATATTTTATTTTTGAAATGCACAGAGGGCAACAGTTGAAGAACAAAAGTTAAAGGCGTTGTGAAATAGATCGTGCTTTTATATGATCCCCTTCTATAGTACCCTACCCTTTGCATTCGTTCGACTTCACTTCTCTAATGAGAGTTTCGTCTTCTCGTAGTTTATAATTAGACTCTGCACGCAGCGTAATAGTTCCCCTATTATCCATGTTCATGTTCTCATTTGATTTTTCATCAGTTATGACTTGGTAACATTTGTTCCGATTTTCATTACGGCGCCCGGCCGATTGAGTATTTTGTTCAGAATTGAATACAATTTTGAACAAAATACTCAACGGCCGGGCGCCGGTGCTGAAAATCTGAGCAAATGTGACCACGGCATTATAAAAGCATACTCTTTAATACACGAACAGATTCAAAATGAGACTTTATCTATCAGAGAAATAAAAATGGAAACTTTGTATTCTGAAAATATTAACTGATGCATTGGTTAGTATTAAATATTAAGTTTTACAGTCGGAAACCTCAAGGGGCGGGAAATTTGATTAAACAAAACGCCGGATTAATATGTGGACAACTTGCAAATGAAATGTAAGTAACATGACAGAACGAGTATGTACGCCCAATAAATACTTTTATAGTTTTAATGTGCATTCAAAGGACCCCGTTTGTAAAATTGATAGAAATGAATAGTTTTATTACCGGAAAAAACTGAGAAATATCTACCCGATTCGCCAGAATAGTCATCATCATATCAGTGCGAAAAATTAGCTATATTTATTTTCTATGCGATATACACCTGATATTGATAGCCTTCCACGATCATGGTCCGTTGACATCATCAACCTTGTGATTTGCCATAAGTGATTAACCAACATTTTAAAACAATTTAAAGTCGGGGTTGACGTTTCTTGACTTTTCACACTGACATCCAAACAAAACATAATTTGAAAATAGAAGGCATAAAATGGCCATTAAAAGTACATTTTTGAACAAAAGTATCAACTTATATTACACTGCACGCAAATACAAAGTGAAAAGAACGTCTTCCCGGAGATTGAAATACGGATCGGTAAGTCAACAAATCTAACTGTTAAATAAACAAGCTTAGCCTATGTCTGCGATTGTTTGTCTGAGTGGCCAGATGTTATCCGTTTCGGATAATAAATTTCTGAGAATACTACTGATATCTAGAATACATCTTCCGTGATATTTTTCATAAAACTACCCTTTGCATTCGTTTGACTTCACTAAAAGAGAGCTTCGTCTTAGTGTAGTTTAACTAGACTCAATCAGACTACTCAATAATAACCACTAGTAAGACCATAATAACAAGCTTAATAACTAGCTTATCGCAAATTATTCCATACGATTTTGTCTTGTGACTGTACGTCATTGATGTAAATAATATAAAGGTGACTTACGGAAGTTGTTCCAGCACATACAACAGGCCTGTATCTGGTAATGGCTGCCCAGGAGTGAACTTACTGTACGTCATTGATGTAAATAATATAAAGGTGACTTACGGAAGTTGTTCCAGCACATACAACAGGCCTGTATCTGGTAATGGCTGCCCAGGAGTGAACTTACTGTACGTCATTGATGTAAATAATATAAAGGTGACTTACGGAAGTTGTTCTAGCACATACAACAGGCCTGTATCTGGTAATGGCTGCCCAGGAGTGAACTTACTGTACGTCATTGATGTAAATAATATAAAGGTGACTTACGGAAGTTGTTCTAGCACATACAACAGGCCTGTATCTGGTAATGGCTGCCCAGGAGTGAACTTACTGTATGTCATTGATGTAAATAAAGGTGACTTACGGAAGTTGTTCCAGCACATACAACAGGCCTGTATCTGGTAATGGCTGCCCACGAGTGAACTTACTGTAGTCCAGAACCATCCACTGATTGTTATACCTAAAAGAAAATGTTGAAATGATAATCAAAATAAAATCAACGATAGATAATGAAGAACCATGCATTCTCTCCACATTTGTAAAATTCCAAGAAAACCAGAAATTGACCCAGATTCAAGAGAAAGGCAAGAGAACATACAGCTATACATGAAACATGTAATTAATTTTGTCATGAAATCAACACCTTAAACACTAGATTCAGAATATAGATAACTAAACAGGAACCACACTACCAATGTCAAATTATCAAGAGATACCAATAATGGCCAGGCCTGTAGCCAGGGGGTGCATGCAAAATCATGCAGTTTTTCACCATGCTAAGCACTTTTGAGTGATTTTGGCCATTTTTGGGCCAAAGTTGTCGAAATGAACCCCCCTGGAATTTTTTAAAAAGTAAACCCCCCTTGGCAAATCCTGGCTACGGGCCTGATGTCCCACAAATTGAAATATTTTTAACAAACTTACGTTCCACTGTTGTATTTTGAAAAGATTTGAGACCAAGATTTGCCGGATGTTGCCAACCGATTGGCTATCATTGTACGTATCCCCTCGAATAATGTTCCAATTGGGCGGATATTTTCATTCAAATCTGGATTGCTGTTTCCATTGGTTGTTTCCATAGTAACCTAAAAAGTTAAAACAGAAAAAGTCAACTTTAATTTCTTCTTTTTTTTAATTTCATATTGAATATGCATTACCTTTAGTCTAAAGTATGGTTGACTTGGTTATACCTGATAAATTATCAGAATTGGCCAGATTGCATCAGATATCATCAAAAAACTGCAAAGAAGGCATTTCTCCGAAACTCTTGGTTAGTGGTCCCTTTGTTTCACATACATAGGAGAAGTGGATAACTGATGATTTCCCTCTACTGCGTTTTGGGGCAGAAAATGTATGTAATTCAATCAACATTTCAACCTTTTGTACTATGGTAGGGAGGTTACTATGGTATGTACTATGGTAGGGAGGTTACTATGGTATGTACTATGGTAGGGAGGTTAATTTGGTATGTACTATGGTAGGGAGGTTAATATGGTATGTACTATGGTAGGGAGGTTACTATGGCATGTACTATGGTAGGGGGGTTACTATGGCATGTACTATGGTAGGGAGGTTACTATGGCATGTACTATGGTAGGGAGGTTACTATGGTATGTACTATGGTAGGGAGGTTACTATGGTATGTACTATGGTAGGGAGGTTACTATGGCATGTACTATGGTAGGGAGGTTACTATGGCATGTACTATGGTAGGGAGGTTACTATGGTATGTACTATGGTAGGGAGGTTAATTTGGTATGTACTATGGTAGGGAGGTTAATATGGTATGTACTATGGTAGGGAGGTTACTATGGCATGTACTATGGTAGGGGGGTTACTATGGCATGTACTATGGTAGGGAGGTTACTATGGTAGGGAGGTTACTATGGCATGTACTATGGTAGGAGGGTTACTATGGTATGTACTATGGTAGGGAGGTTACTATGGTATGTACTATGGTAGGGAGGTTAAACAATGTAAAATTAGCTTAGTTTCCACAACTGTAAGTGTCGATAGTTGACATCAATATATCATGATAAACATGTGAAAACATGTGTTGAGTATCAGAAAGCCATCTATAATAAGTTATGCTACTCACCAGTCTTGAGTTGATGACATAAAAGTCATCTCCCGAATAAAGAACACCTGGGGATGATGAGAATGACATTGTTGTCCCAGGAATCTTTCCTGAAAAACATACCCAGGTTTTCCTGTAATTTGACAATAATCATTATAATCTGGGCTGAATATACAGTAGAACCTTATTAATGGTACCTCCAAAATAGAGTCAAATTGAGATGTGTTCTACTTACAGAGGTTCATTTTATATAAAATAGAGGGTTCTAGGACTTTGAAGTGTTCCATTTATGAAGATGTACCTGTATAGCGGAGGTGTTCCACTTTACATGTTTTAGTGTACAAATTGTAATGCTAATCCAGGGATTCTCTATAAAGCCTAGAAGGGATATTCCCAGTTGAAACCTAACCTACCTTTTCCCATGCTGAATGGAAAATCATATTTCTTGAGGATTCTTAACATGCTCTGGTATGTATTCCATGTATCGTGTGCAAAATATATATCTTTATTTTTCGGCAAGAGTTTGATCAAGGCTGAACAGGATCCTGATCCAAGAACATGTTTTCTATCTTCTTTTTGAAGAGCTACTTCCAGATCTTCAAGGTCTCCTCCGATCTGAAATAATCTGAAAACATAATGAAATGAAAATTTAATTCCCTAACAGCTTTAAAATACTGTACGTCCAGGCACTGATATCAGCTCTTGGATAAAAATGATATCACTCAAAATTATGGCATATCCTATACTCATTACTAATTTGATTTGGCTTACTAGTTGCTATGGCAACATTTTTGTTATTAAATTTATAAATTGTACAAAACATCCAGTGTTTTAGAAAAATCTCGTATAGGCCTAATGAGATATATCAATAACATACCAAAAGACAATAACTTACAATTTTTGCTTTCAGTTTACAATGCATTCAACATACAGATGTATTGCCGTTACAATATGAAAGTTGAACACAGCTTACAAACTAGCAAAACTTACATACAGATCATGTTCAATGCATTCTACCTTCATTTTTCCTATCATGTTCCAAGTAAAAGATGGTACACAAACTTGCGACATTTTAAAAAAATAAAATAAACAGCATTATTTATTTTTACACAAAATGAAACTACTATGTATGGGGTGGTTGTGGCCAAATATGAACAAAATTCATAAAATATTAAGATTTTTAGAGCAAAGGGTTCGGAACTTTTGGATCAACCCTCGTATATACAACATATTACAGCGAGAGTGTGTATAATACAAAATCATTTTCAAAAATCAATCAGTTTTTAAAATGCCATCAGCTAAATAATAAATGCTGGTATTGTTCTGCTTACCAACAGCAATGCAGTTTTTAAGTTCTCTAAGATGCAAGCTTGGTTAGTCTAGGATTACCAAATAAAATGTCATTACAGGTTATTGCAACATTTATTAGAGACTTTTAATTGACTATATGACGTTATAACAATATTACAAATATCTTACATGAATTTAAAGATGGCGCTATCAGCAGTGATGGGTAGAATAGTTGCAGGCCTGGATATGAAACTACTGGTTGCTGTGTAGCCATTCATCAAACCATCAAGTTGGTAAAGATACAAAGAAGCCTACAATACATGTACATGTATATAAGTGGTAATGATATTAATTCAAACCTAATAGAATAAGGCTGATATAAGGATGGCAGCGGTGACTAAATTTAATTCAAAAGAGAAGATTTGTTAATCAGATTGATCACACTGCCATCTTTATTTAAAATAAATTACTTTTATCTCCCCTTAGACAATGAATAAAACATATTGTTGTACCAACTGTGATTTTAGTATGCATTGAAGCATGGGGACTCGGCAATTGGACCTTGCCCCCTCCCCCCCCCCAGGTCTGCCAGAATACTTGATAGTCCAGGTTTATTAGCAACAAAATGTTTGATTTTTTGGGGGGTTGTTGAGTTGGCCAAGCAGTGAACATGCTTAGCTAGGCACTGTTGCTGTAACCATGATGTAGTGAGTTCAAGACACGTAAGCTCCTTATGTTAATTCATTTATGAAGTGAGATTGAGGGGATGCATTTTTTAAATTAACCTGAACGTGTATAATGTATACTTATAATACCTGATGGAAAATGGGGTCTTCGGGGTATTTCCTTATTTGATCAGCCATCCATGCAAAATTCTTCTGAACGTAACCTAGCAATCGCAGGCAATATGGTGACATGTTCTTTGGGTCACAGTATCCAGCAACTGTATTTCTCCATGATAAACTAATCATGTTACGAGTCAGGTAGCCTTCAGCTATACCTGCTGCTCTGGCTTGGATGTCGTTGGAGTAGGAAGCATTGGTTGATATCGACAAGTTGGCCCATCTGAAATAGAAGTAAACCAAATTTTGTGATATTTAAATTCAACATGTTACATGTGCCCCCATAAATTCGGGGGTAATCTTCATGTATATGATAATCAATATGCATACTTCTTGAGTTAGAGATCTATGATTAAAGCATCTCGTGGATGTAGCTAACTATAAGGCTTGCCTCGACTAAAGATAAAACACTTATTCTAGTGAGAAGTTCATATGGTTAAAATAACGAAATAATGAAATGTTATCATGTGTCTACTGAGCAGTTTGTTCCATGTCATCCATCCTGCTAGGTTACATTGTGGAACGCAGCCAAACACGACACTGATGGCAACAACATATCGATACTGATCTTAGCAAAATTCTTGGAAATTTAGATCGTCCATTTTGCGAGCTCACGTGACTGACACGCGACAAGTGTCTCATCACATGACTAGTTACTGTATCGATCATGTGACTTAATGACGTGTCACCCTACCATGTCTTCGAGGAAAACGGTAGTAAATATTTTGGAAAATGTTTTCCGAGCATTTGCTACTGATTATAGAAGACCCAATTACGCAACGAAACTGCTAAATTGTGTTTCGTGCCTATTTTTAGTCTGCTTATTGATCTATTGATTCATAAGGACCTGATATGATGCATTCAAATAAGACCGCCTCCTAAATGAAAACACTACACATAAAGTGGTTAAAAACAACAAACTAAAGTTGAAAGATCGCAACGTTAGCTACTTTGTTCAATTCAGGAAATCTCCAAGGGGCTGCAAATGGGAAATTTTTAAGATTTAGATTTTATAACCTCAGAATACTGCCTTCAGTGTCGTGTTTGGCTGCGTTCCACAATGTAACCTAGCAGGATGGATGACATAGAACAAACTACTAACTAGACACATGATAACATTTCATTATTTCGTTATTTTAACCATATGAACTTCTCACTTGAATAAGTGTTTTATCTTTACATTTTACATTGACAAACACAAAGTGATTTTTATTTTCTCACCCAGTTGAATTTGTCGAATCCGAGAAATTTCCAATAGCCACATACTTTTCCGATACTTTCCCATCAATTATAGTAAAAGTATGTTTATTTGAGTCATATTCTATTGAGACAGTGTCTCCATGAACACTAGAAATGGATAAGAATATCAAAAAACTTGAGAAAAATATTTCTCTGAAGTCTACCATTTTGAAAATTTATCACGTGACGGGTCATATGATAGTCATGTGACTCCGCAGATGTAAACAAAGATCGTCATGTGACCTTGTATGTAAACAAACCAAAATGTACACCATAACAACTTCCACGTTGGACTGTTTTTGTTGTCACTTATTACACGATTGATATAAGATACATTGACACTCAGCTACAGCTATATTGGCCTTGTTGAACTGCAGTAACTAATGCAGTGGTTTGAAACTGGCATTTTATTCGTTAAATCATGGACTTATATTAAAATAAGGAGATTCTAGATAATCTGGCATGGTGTACTGTACATGTAGATTAGCTTGGAACATTATTGTACATGAGGCATAATTTAGATACAACAATATCTGACTCTGACACTGACACCAATACAGGATGCTGACATCACAATGGCGGACTGCAGTCAGGATCCTTTGTGGAATCGCATTCCTTTATTATGCAGTTTCTATCAATCTGGGATCAATCATTACTTTTATTGCATTTATAGGATCAATATTTGCACTGTCGAAAAGCAAAGAATATCCTGTACAGATATCACCCACATTGGAGAAGAGAAATCCTTTGAAACGGAAATCGGGCAATCTAACGATTTCTGATGTACCTGATGTCTTGATACAGAAAATCCAAAGTGATGTTTATAAACATATCACTTATGATCCAGAGTTAGCAGAGTCTGTGGAGAATTTTCAATCCATACAGCAAAATACAGAGTGTATATTTGCAAAGCGTGCCAAAATTTGGGGAAGTGCAAATTGGAACGTTAATCTGACGTTGGAGGGAAATGTTCTGAAATCAGTGCCGATGTTAATGACTTTTATTCAACTATGTCCAACCTTAGGCTTAGATGGGTTTGTGTTTGAACTACCAACATCCAAATATGGTAAAACAGTAGAACATTTCGGACAATCAGTCCGTAAACTTCTGACGATTCTCTCTGATAATGACCCTTCTCATGGTGACTCGATGAAGGAGCCTAATATTGGAAAAACTGGATGGGTCTTCAAATTTTATAATCATACATTTTTCATCACCACTTTTGGACCATTTTATTCAGAAAATCATTCAAGATATGGATTCGAGAGTGAAAATTGTTTTGTATTACTCCAACCGGAACTTTCATTTGCTCATCACGATCTCCCACCAGATACCCCTGAAACTAAATGGGAAACCCCTGAAACTATTCGTGATAAAATTAGGGTTGCATATAGAGATGCAGGGAGAGGATATCATATCCGTGACACTGTAGTATATCCAATGGCACATGATATTGTTAAACCATTGACTGATAAAGATGATGTTATAACATGGTGGGAGTTAAAAATAAACTAAATAAATAAATTGTTGCGCAATCACATGACGACGTCTAGCCTGCCTCTTACCATGCGATTCTCTGTACTCATTAATACATGTACAAACAATATAATTGTATTTTAATTTTTTATTGCTTGAAAAACAACAATGATATTAAGCATTTATTACAATCGTACTTAATCAACAATAATGATAAAGCATTCAATACAATTATACAATAATTCATTACAATACATTAACTGAAAATGATTGTTGGAACCCAAATGTAACAAAATTGAAAACGTGAAATGAAACAAAACGTCAATGATTGTGGAAAAATAAATCCTATCTTCAAGATACAAGAGAGCTATTCATTGATTGAATTTGAACGAATCTAAATTGAATTTGTTATGATTGGATGAACTTGTTAAATTTGAATGAATTTGAATTGAATTTGTTGAATTTATCTGTTTACCAATGCCAGAAAATGAAAATTAGATGCAGCCATTAAATTCCAAATTCAGGTTCCAACAATCAACGCCATCTATAGCACTATGAATGATAACCTTATACATTTAGCACATTATAATGTTTTTACCATACTGCAGTCACGTACATGTACACGTAGTCTATATATACAAATAAATAAAAAAAACTAAATAAGTCTAATACAAACGTGATCATTTTCACCATCAGAATTTAGTGAGCCCTGAAAAATCCAAGTTAAATATAATGTGATATGTCAAAGGGATTTTGTATACCATTGTTGAGTTGATAATTGATATTTAATTGATATTTAATAGCATCTTGCTTAATCAACTAATATCAATATGTATCAATAGCCTCGAGCCTGACGTAATATTTAGCATGATAAAAATATTTCAGGCAAAAAAGGAAATGTAAAAATGAAATTTCAATTGTTATCAAGTAGGGTACCTGTCAAAAGGGAAACATAGAATTGAGGACTTCCCCTTTAAGTGAAAGAAATTATTGGTACCTCCCCTTTAAGTGCGTCAAGTGCCACTGAAATTATTCAAAGTTTAACTGGGCATACAAATTCATGGTGAAAATATCACGTTTGTCTATCAGACTTCTTAGTAAAAATGATACCATACAAAATGAATGTGCGGTGCAGTATGTTGTTTTGTCATAAACTTACAGTTCAGGTTCATACAGTCGTATGTTGATCATATACAGGGTAATACAAAATTATAGTGGAATCTTTTCCCCTTGAATATAAAGTTTTGAACAATTTCATACGCATGCCTAGAAGCAAAATCTGATATCTAAGTCATTGTACAAGTAATGTTTGACTGTTCAGGGTGTTCAAAAAATGACTAAAAGTGCCAAAGTCTAAGTAGTGTCAAAAAATTAAGTGATTTTGGCGGTCCAATTTTTTGAGCTCCCTGTACAAAAACAAATTCAAGAGGATTCTACAGATATTCCGAAATCAGTGGTTTGCGTTTTTGTGTCTTTAACTTATTTTGTATTTTAAGATAACTTTGAAATAACCAAACCACAAGCGATAGCGATACACAAATTGAAATTGAATGAAATATTTCCTCATGATGTTCGGAAGATAATCACTGTATACAGCATTCGTGAGATTATCTCATTGGAATATTACATTCACATTGTATTCATGTTTGTGAATATGTTACTCTATTTTTGTACACCCTTTACAGTATGCATTAATGTAGCTGATCTGGTTCTGCCTTAAAGAGGGAGAGGGGATAATAACCCAGAATTCATAGATGGTCATGAATTGCAATGTAAGAAGAGGTAATATCCCATAATTCATAGAGGGTCCTTCCATATAATGAACCTCTATAGGTTCCCCTTTATGGTGAATCTATGAGCTCTGGGCTATTTCCTCATCTGAACAAGAGCTTCATTACTTCATTTGGCGCTATTCAATTTGGTGAATTTGGCAAATTGGAAAATTGGCGAAGATTTATTTTTGATTAATCCTTTCCAACGAAACAGTAGGTATATGTTTGGTATCTAACATTAAGATTAAAGTGTACAATGTCTCTAAAATTAAACTAAATTATCAAGACTTGAAATGGTGAATTTTTTCAAATCACCAAATTAAAACAGCGACCAAATCAAATAGGGTAACAGGATGACATATGTATATATAACTGCTTCTTGAAACAAAGATTTTGTATTTTCTGCTTTTTATACAAATTAGTGATCATGACGTTGTATCCAGGGTTTCAAGCAATACTAATCTCTGCTACAGTTAATATGAACATAAGCATGATAAATGAGTTTGGTTTCCAAAGATACGATTGCCATAGCAACGTTACATTACCTTAGCCACCTGAACAAAGGCTATTTAGGCAAGTTGTATTACACGAAAAGTGTTAAACATTGTCATGACTTTACCATGATTGAATAATAAATATCTAATTTAATCGATCATAAAATATTTGATTAACTCAAATAAATTGTATATCAAGATGAACTGTAAACCTAGAAAATTTCAACAATTTGCAACATCATAAAATTTCACTCTGGAATCTGTACCATTTCACTGGATTTGCACCAGTAGTCATTTTTCAATAACATGTGTTTATAAAGATGAGTATACTCATCACCAAACAAGGGAAAGACTATTCTGTGACATACTCAATGGCAAATAAGTAGTCACATTTGCTCTACGGCAGCCGTAGCTTCAGAAAATCGACAAAGAAAATCAGAAAATCTACATCATACTGCTAATTACTATTATACGCTGCATATTTCTCTCCATTTTCGGAAGCTGCAGTCGTTTTAGATCAAAGTGACTGAGGCATTAATTGCACAAAATATTTAAAAAATCAATAAAATTGATAAAATTCAAAAGGTTTACAGTATATTTAATGAAACATTGGTGTTCATATCAGTTCTGTGACTAGTGCCATTCTCAGCTATTTAAGAGTTAATTAAAACATTAAACTCAAAGCAAATAAAATATATTAAATTAAATTAAAACAGATGCAAACACCCAAAACACAAATAAATAAGTTATACAACTAAATGTGAGAAGTGGAGTTAATAAATAAGTATTGTAATATACATTAATCAAAAATATCATGCTGGACATGCCCTCAATGCAAAATATGATTTGAATCAGAAAGGAATGAGGTAAAGAGGCAAAGAATGAGGTAAAGAGGCATAGAACAAGGTAAAGTAGAGGCAAGGATTGAGAAAATAGGCAAGGAATAATGTAAAGAGGCAAGGATAAAGAAAAGAGGCAAGGAATAAGGTAGAGGCAAGGAATAAAGTGAAAAGAGGCAAGGAATAAGGTAAAGAGGCAAGGATTAAGAAAAGAGGCAATGATTAAGGTAAAGAGTCTAGGAAAACAGATAAACAGGCATGTAGTTAGCACTACATTAAGGAAATGTAAGAAAATAATTTTGAGTGAAAAATTTCAGGATACAAGGCTTGACCATCAGGTTATTTTTTCACCAACATTTGAATTCAAATGTAGTCTACCACCATATATCTTTCAATTATAAATTGAGATCAGTGTTATATATCAAATTGAAGCATTGTATTTCAGTGCAAAACAATGAACATTATACTTGTGCCTTTTTTGCATTTTTTTGCATGAAATGAAATTTCTTTTCCAAATTACCCAATGAATTCCATTTAAATAACAGAAAAATAATTTGTGTCAAACAACAACAATGTAATTGCCATATTACAACAAAAATGGCAATATTACAACAAAAACAACAACAGGCAGCTCTTAATTATGTTTTTCTCTTTTTCCAACGAAATGTGGCCTATTTCTTCATTGGCAATCACAGGAAGATTCAAACACAGAATGTTACCATATTTGGCAAAGCCTATGCATGTAATAATAATATTACCATATTTGGCAAACTGATGGACAAAACATCAGGAAAACTGAAACTGAGAATAATATTTAAGGATATTTTCGAGAAACTTTCCCTAGTTTATGAACAACAATTTTTGCTTTCAAGGCAAAACTATCTATAGCAACAATAATGCAAATATGAAATAATTTTACAAAAAGTTGAATGTGATGAAAATCTTTGGAAACCAATGCGAAAGTTTATTATGTGCCATGCCCACTTTTTCAAAGGGCCACACCTGCTTTCCACAGAGAAGTGGCCGTGGCACATAATAAGGAAGAAGTTTGATTTACATGATACATGTATAGTTATGAATGGTATCTGAAATGAGTATGTTACTTTGTCAGTTTAGTATTACAAAAATGTTGTATATTTCGATATTGATGCATTAACCCTTACAGTCCCAAAATGGCATCCATATCCTAGTATTTTACATAAATGGATCCTTTGGGTTAAAACTCCAATATAGAAATATACATATGTGACTTTATTTACAAAAAATATCTTTGGGTGTTTTTACCCATATTAAAAAATTGGTCAAGATCGTGTTTGTGTCAACACACAGACTTCATACTGCAAGTAGTTTTTGCCCATTGGGCTAAGTTTGTCATTTCTGAATGTAACTTGTCTATAAAATCATTCTAATACGTATCAACGAAATACTTCTCAGTCTTTTGTAATACATTTCAAATCTTAGCTTCTGTCTGCTTTACAGTCTGATGCTTTTTGAACAGCTCATGAGCTCATTTCGAGTCAATTTAACAAATTCTACAATCCAAACTGAATCTCTTCAACAAATGGATATGCCTTTACATCATCCTTTTTTCACATTTTACATCCATGTTTCACATTTTCACATTTTATCACATGTATTCAGAGAATACATCTCAAAAATTCCCATTGTGCATGAAGCAACATGCCATTTACTTTCAGTACAAAATACACCCCTACTCATTCAGATGGTAAAATACATCTCAGAAAATACATTTCAATTTCATGCTTAATCGTTGAATACATTCAATCATGGGTTAACCTTTTAAACCACATGTCATTACATATTTTCATTGTAAGTAATCTCTGGACACAAGTTTATACCATACCGATTCCAAAGATTCCAGGTGCAGTCAGATAATGCATTTCCACTTTTAGCGATCCTCGTATCGATTCGTGTCTGCATTCCAACAGGCGACTCAAGAAACAATCATTCCCAGATATTTCCAGAGATATTTCCAAGATGTTTCCCACTTTTTGAGGATCTTGTAGCGCATGGTATCCAATGCCCCTCAATAACGAAACTTTGTAATTCATTATATCCAACTTGTTGTCATGGTAACATTTTTGTATGACACAACTCAAGCTGATCTTATCTTGAAAAATCCAAATGTTCAGCTGACCATCTTTATTAGCTTTTGAGCTTGTGGCTCATATATTTGATGCTAAATACTTGGT